TACGGAACGCAGTTTTCCAGAAGAGGCGAAGAAGCTCTCGTCTACTACACGCTCGAGAAGAGGAGCGTCTTCAGTTGGATACGCGGCGAAATTGGCCTCAGGATTTATTACTACGATGAGATGCTAGTTGAAGACGACAAACCACCGCCGCAACAACAGGAGGAGCAACCTGAGCAGAACAAGCCGCCGCCGGGAGCGGCTGTTGTCGAGGAGGGACGGGTTTTCGAGGCTCCTGGACCGATGGAGCAATGTATACCTCTTCCTACGGGTCCTCCTCATTCGCCGCGTGTGGTGGTGGTTGAAGAATCGCCGCCTCCGGTTGTGCATGTTTCGCAGGATCCGCCGTTGCCGGGAATGTGCGAGCCTCCGGAAATGCAGTTCCATCCGGAGGTGAGGAAAATGCAGGCCAACAGAGGGGAGAGGGTGAAGATATTCAAGAGGCCGAACGGTGATTACTCGCCTAAGGATATTTCTGGTAAGAAAACTGGCGCCGAGTCCGAGAGGGTTCATCCGTTCGATCTCGTGGAGCCTATGCAGTATCTGTTCGTCCGGATAGTGAAAGCTCGCGGGCTTGCTCCTCCCAGTGAAAGCCCATTTGTGAAGGTCAGAACGTCCAGCCACTTCGTGAGATCCAAGCCCGCCAGTTACCGCCCCAACGAGCCCGCCGACTCGCCTGAGTGGAACCAGGTGTTTGCGTTGGGTTACAACAAGACCGACGTCAACAGCGCCACGCTGGAGATTTCCGTTTGGGATTCTCCCACGGAGAATTTTCTCGGTGGTGTTTGCTTTGATCTTTCCGACGTTCCGGTTAGAGATCCTCCGGATAGTCCCTTGGCGCCGCAATGGTACCGCCTCGAAGGAGTCACCGCCGATCAGAATCCCGGGAGAGTTGCCGGCGACATTCAGCTCTCCGTGTGGATCGGGACGCAATCCGACGACGCGTTCCCGGAAGCGTGGAGCTCAGATGCACCGTACGTAGCGCACACTCGCTCCAAGGTTTATCAGTCACCGAAGCTCTGGTACCTCCGCGTGACGGTGGTGGAGGCGCAAGACCTGAACATTGCTCCGAATCTGCCTCCATTGACGGCGCCGGAAGTGAGGGTGAAGGTGCAATTAGGGTTCCAATCGCAGCGAACAAGGAGAGGATCCATGAACCACCGTAGCTTATCGTTCCACTGGAACGAGGACCTTCTCTTCGTGGCCGGGGAGCCTCTGGAAGATTCTGTGATCGTTCTCCTGGAAGATCGGACGAGCAAGGAAGCGGCGCTGCTAGGCCACATCGTGATTCCGCTAGGCTCAATCGAGCAGCGAATAGACGAGCGCCACGTGGCAGCGAAATGGTTCCCGTTGGAAGGCGGGCCCTACTGCGGGCGAGTCCACCTGCGCCTCTGCCTGGAGGGCGGGTACCACGTGCTGGACGAAGCGGCGCACGTGTGCAGTGACTTCCGTCCCACCGCCAAACAGTTATGGAAACCGGCGGTGGGGATTCTGGAACTGGGGATTCTGGGCGCTCGCGGCCTCCTCCCGATGAAATCGAAAGGCGCTGGAAAGGGCTCCACGGATGCTTACTGTGTGGCTAAGTATGGAAAAAAGTGGGTCCGAACCCGCACCGTAACCGACAGCTTCGATCCACGCTGGAACGAGCAGTACACGTGGCAGGTCTACGACCCCTGCACGGTTCTCACCGTTGGCGTGTTCGACAACTGGCGCATGTTCGCTGACGTGTCAGAAGACAGACCCGATTGCCGTATCGGGAAGGTACGAATACGTGTCTCTACGCTTGAGAGCAACAGAGTGTACACCAACTCCTACCCCCTCCTCGTGCTCACGCGAACCGGGTTGAAGAAAATGGGGGAAATCGAGTTGGCGGTTCGGTTCGCTTGCCCCTCCTTGTTGCCCGACACGTGTTCGGTCTACGGGCAGCCCCTGCTTCCTCGAATGCACTACCTCCGCCCGCTCGGGGTGGCCCAGCAGGAGGCTCTCCGCGGGGCCGCCACCAAGATGGTGGCGCAGTGGCTGGCGCGGTCGGAACCGGCGCTGGGGCACGAGGTGGTTCGTTACATGCTAGATGCGGATTCGCACGCGTGGAGCATGAGGAAGAGCAAGGCGAATTGGTTCAGAATCGTGGCGGTTTTGGCTTGGGCCGTTGGATTGGCCAAGTGGTTGGATGATATTAGAAGGTGGAAGAATCCAGTCACCACTGTCCTTCTCCACATCCTTTATTTGGTGCTTGTTTGGTACCCGGATTTGATTGTCCCCACTGGGTTCTTATACGTGGTCCTAATCGGGATTTGGTATTACCGGTTCAGGCCGAAAATACCGGCTGGGATGGATACCCGGTTATCTCAGGCTGAAGCGGTTGACCCGGATGAGTTGGACGAGGAATTCGACACCATGCCAAGTTCGAAACCACCAGATATAGTTCGAATGCGCTATGATAGGTTAAGAATGCTAGCAGCTAGGGTCCAAACAGTGTTGGGTGATTTTGCCACCCAGGGAGAGAGGCTTCAAGCCTTGGTTAGTTGGAGGGACCCTAGGGCTACCAAATTGTTCATTGGAGTCTGTCTTGCCATAACTGTCACACTCTATGCGATGCCGCCAAAAATGGTGGCTGTGGCCTTAGGGTTTTACTACCTCCGCCACCCCATGTTCCGGAACCCCATGCCCTCCGCCACCTTGAACTTTTTCCGGCGACTTCCCAGCCTGTCTGATCGCTTGATGTAGATTATTATTCAAATTCAGTGCCTAGTTTTTTTCTTTTTTTTTAAGGTGACAATTTTTTTAGAGGTGGGAATTTATTTTTTACTATATGGGACTGGGACTAGTGACTAGTGAGGGTGTGGAAAGGAACAAGCAGAAGCAGCTGTTTTGTAGGGATAGTGTTTGAAAAAGGTGTCTCAATAACATCGTAAGGAGTGAAAAGGGGGTGGAAAGTGGCTAGTTGTCATCATTTCTTTTTGTTGCAATCGAATGGATTGACTGTGGCCACTGTTGAAAACTCGAAATAAGAGAAAGGAGGGACGAGGGTGAGAGAGAGGCGAGAGAGAAACATGGGGGGAGAAATTTTGGGTACTGTCTTGGCTGTGGTGGGGAGACTTTTCTGTCAATGTTTAGGAAGGCATATAATATTGCCTTTCATATCTCTTCACATTTTTTTTTTAAATACAGTGCCCTCAACAGCTCCTTGCTGTTTGTTTGTTTCTGTCTTGTCTAATTTCCTTCTCAATTATCATTTTCAAGATTTAATATTCTTGCCATAAAAAAAATCATATTATTCATATATAATTTAATATTTTTCTTGTTTTTTTATTATATATACACGAATCTAAAAAATATTTTAAAATAAAATCAACGACATTTTTGTTGTCTCACTTTTAATCTTCAACAAACATTCCTTATTTTGTTAACGCCACCATGTGCTACACATATTACTAATTCATAGACATTTGATTGCTGATTTTAACAGTTAATGAACATAGGTAAGTTGTATGTATGGTTTCCGAACATCTAACACAATCTTGTGGTGGGAAGTGGGAACTAGGAAGGCGTCGTAATTGGAAGAAAAGTGAATGCATAATCACATGACAACTGCAATCCACCACCATATAATTCATTTGCTTTCAGAAACTCCAGAAAATATTGACTTGATGGAGGAGGCAGTGTAAGTATGGAGTGCAGAGTACTGACCAAATTTGGGTGCCACTGATTTCCACAAACATGGGCATCTGTGAAATCTGTGTGTGATGGGAAGTGGGAATCACAAGCACTTTCTGTTTCTGTTCTGGTCTGGGTATCCATGCCATAAATGATATATTCATAAATACACAAACTTCAGAAAATGTAAGGCCCATTTTTGTGTTTGTTTCTTTGCTGAGTAGTTTTTTGTGCTTGTGTAATATTATTTTGATATTTTGATTCTCATTCTATAAAAACATTTATATTTATAAATTAATCACACCTTTTATTCCCCCCCGCCCCTTCTCTATTTTCTGTCCTCTTTAGAATTTTGGTAAAATTTACCTGTTCCCTGAAGTTTGGATAAAACAATAAATAATTAAGTTAAATTTAGTAGCTATTTAATATTCGAGTTCGATCTATGATAAAATAATTTTTTTACTAAACTTTATTTATCTATAACGGATAGATTGACCTAAAATGAATTATATGAAGAAAAAAAAAACTAACAATGTAGGTTATATAACTATGCAAACTTCTGTAGCATAAAAATTAGTTATTTACATGTGCGACCACACATGGCTCAATAATGTCATTTCAATAAGAGAAAAAGACATAAATGTGAAGATACAAACTATACGTCCAATGAAATTACTTGAGAATGGCTTTATGCCTTTTCATTTAATAGAGTAGCAAATCTAACCTTGTATAAAAGGAACTATAGGTCAGTGGACAATCTCATGTAAAAAAATTAAAATGTGCCATAGCCTCCGAAAACGAGTATAATGTTTTCTTAGGTTAAACGAAAATTGATCTTCTCACCTTTAAGTGCAAAGATAGAAAGGAAGCTTAAATACAAGAACCATCCGTCTAGCACGATCAAAAGTTAGCCTTAGTAATATTGCTAAATAGATAAAAGTTACTCTAAAGATATCTTTCCCAGAAGTTTACATGGATAGGATGGTTTGGCACATTTGATTTCAACTCTTTGCTGTTGTTTCCAGTAAAATTAGTTTATGGATTCTTTTCTTTTGAACTAGCAAAATTTTCAATTTAAGTATGTAATAAATAGAAACTCTACGAGTTATCAGAGCCTTAAGGTACTACGTGAAATTATAATAAAATAGATTTCAAATAATACATATTCTTAACATGCAATGAATTCCAGGAATGAGTCTCACACATGTAAGCTAGTCAAGATCCAATTTTATGTGAATTAATATGCTAGAATTTCTAAATATTCATCAACAATTATCACAAAATAGGTTTCATGCATGTAAACATTCAGGTAAATTGAATGAACAACGACATATATATTGATAATAAAAATCATGACTTGTTTGCTTCAAATTATAAAATTACACTATACTAAACTAAAAATAGAACTATCCTAGGAAAAGAAAGGAAAAAAAGATGGCCAAAAAATCATACTTAGCAATCTCATACACAAGAGCCATGTGCACCGATAGTGAGTATTTGTGAGAGTTCGTAAATATGATTTTCCAACCCTTGAGATTGAGTCTAGCCTGTCTATTTATAGGAAGACCACAATAGTAGTTAGATTCATCATGCCATTAGTAACCATCCTATTCTTTGGATCGTGCATTATCTTTCTTAACCGCCTCTAATTTTCTCAATAACCGTTTTTTGATCATTAATTACTTCCTTATTTGAAATACAGAATTAGTATTTTTTGAGAAGTAGTTACTATACATAAGTTCCACTAAGATTATAATTGTCTCGTGATTTATGTTATATGGATAATCTCTTTTAAACCGTTTGAGACTATTTTATAATTACTTGTTCGAGTTTCAATATATTACTTTTGGAGCTTGAGAGTTGTGCTCGTCATATTTGACTCTTCCACTATTCCATGTCATAGGTGTCTCCTCAGTGGTTGAGAGTTGAGACTTGATCTGTTTTATCATGGAACGTTTCTACTCAAAATTTTACTCCTAACAATGTTTCATCCATTAATGTGACAGTGGGTTTTAAATTAAAATGTCATAAGCATTGATAAGACTTTTTCTTAGTACAGGACCACGAAGGACATATCTATGTTGTGTCACTTATGGTGTCCACAGTAATAAACGCGAGTAGCAAGTGTAAAGTAGATTGGTGGATTAACATTCATCGTATTTCTATCGGAAATTCAAACACATCCTAAAATATTTTAATTTAGGGTTTAGGTAGTAAATTCACACTATTGTGAGTGCTTTCCTTTCCCTATGTCAAGTTTCCCCAACGGATCAATGCAAAATCCGGCAGTAAATATCCAACCAATGGCTGCTATTTTTAGCTCATATTTGATCGACTTTTATATATGAACGTCAGTAAATATTTGACTTGGTGGAGCGAATGCTTAGAGAGGAAGTCACAAACTTAATTTGGGTGCCACAAATTTCAACAAAGACTGTCTCTGTGCATTCAGTGTCAGTAAAAGTTGACAATAAAAACCAAATTCTGTTGCAACAAATTGTTAGAGAAATATATATGTTACCTTCTAGATCTCTTAAGCTGGACACTATTCTTTAGATTTTGGGGCATTCTTATCATGAAACACCCAACCTTGTACATCTTTTAAATTGAATTGAGTTATGGTACTTTCTCATGAACTAATCTATTACAATCCTCGATTTGAATGTGAGAGAGTTTGAAGAAGATAAACATGAAGGACAAGAAGATAAAGAAACCTGAAGATACATATGAAAAACAAAATTTCTAACTTCTAACCTCCCCTTTCTCCTCCCTCTATTAAAATTCCTCTTCTCTCCTCCTTTGAACCAAACGGATCTAAGGAGAAGCTGAGAGTCCAAATTTAAAAAAGTGGATTGAAAAGCCTCGTTGTATGTACTATGTATGTATAGAATAATTGTAGATATTGTTCTGTATTGTAAGTTTGCTAGTGTTGGGCTCCTGGCTTGTGCAAATTCTTTTAAATTCATATACTAAAGATTTCTTCAATGTTAATATCAAGTTTTTAACTATAACCTATGCTATGCCGATGTTTTAAAATGTCCTAGAGTGATCACACAGCCACAGGCCCATAACAAAAATGAGAGTATGGAAATTAATTTTATTAATCGATTTATTTATATATAATATAAAATTTCTTTTGTATGCACTGTTTCATTCTTGTATAACCGCTATATCTGTTTTATATTTTTCTTCAACAAATAACACATTATCATGTTTAAATTTGCATGAGATCCTATGTTAAAAAGTAGTAGACTTTTGTAAAAATAAAAAATCATGTTTCAAATATTATGACATCTTTCCAAGTTTCTTTTGGATTTCTTTATCTAAATCAATACCGCTACATATTGTCACTTCAAATTTATTTATTTATTTATTTTAATGATAAATCTTCACTTAAGATTATTTAGAGGCTCTCCCTGTTTTTCCCGCCATTTTCAAAATTCATATCCTCTCCTTCCATCATTTCATATCTTTCCAACAACAATTGAATAACTACCAAACATGTTTTCACTAAATAGGGAATAAAACAACTGTAACAAGAGCTTCATTTATCATGTCTCTCCATTCACTAAGTTTTTACTATTTCTTGCTTAATTTCTACCCAACATCGAATAATTTTACTTACACCATTTCAATTTCTAGTAAGTTTGAAATAGAAAGTGTAATCTGTGCATAAAAAGAGTGTAATTTGAATATGTTGCGTAAATTGTTATTAAGTAGCCCGCGCTCGATCTCACCGTGACGCAATAAGCCGCCGCAAAAAGACAAACAAAAATAAAAGAAGAAATAAACCCAAGAATGCTATTAAAGTTTATTAAAATATGAAAATTAGGCAATAGGCAAGGCACTTTTCTAAATGCACAATCGTATCAATTTTGTTTTAATAAATTGTTAGTCAAGTCTTTTTCCAACACTCAATTCTCATTTTATTTGGAAAATTGTCTCAATTGTGAAGTGTTCAACGCAGTTGGTCGGGGATAAAAAGTTGAAATTAGTTAATGCTACAATTGAAAAGGTATAGACTATGAACTCCAGAACAACGATGAATTTGTGAGGATAATCAAACATTAAATGACCATGGCTGGTTATATAAGAAATGTTTCGTACTCTCACAATAGTGACAATAAAGAATGCATGGCTCATCACCTGGTTCTTAAGAAGAAGAGCAATATTATAGAACATACATATTAATGCCTAGAATTTTGTCCATTCATTAGAATAACATGCAGCTTAAAATGGTAATAATTGGTTTTAGTACAGTTGTAAATAGTGACAAGATAAACAGCATTAAAATGCTTCCAAAAATGTCACTAATCTCTAATATATAATTGTACTCAGCTTAAGCGTAAAGCAACAATGATTATACTACAATCAAAAAGGTAACGGTTAGATTTCCCTCCCCTTACCTTGTTGACCGAAGAAACATATAGCAATCTTATTATGTACATACAAGAGAAACAGTGACAGTGTTTGTGTTAGCTAGCTTAAGTTTTACTCCTTGTCTATTTGTCACCATCCGTGGGTGTCATTTTTTGAGTACGAAATGGTAGCTGCAATTGGTTTATGGAAGTTTCGTTACATGCAGGTTTCAGTTGAGTCATTTTTGTATTTGTACCAATAAAAGTGAGTCATTCTGTACAAGAGGAAACTTCCCTTGCCCTTCTTCCCTCCTAATAAATTCTCATGCTAACAAATCATCAAAAGGTGAAGCACAAATAATTTTGGTTCCTAAGATTAGTTTTAGCAAAATGAGCACCTGTCCAGGGTTATATTTTGATATTGGCAAGAAGGCCAAAGGTTTATTTTTATTTTTTTCTCTTTTTAATCTTTCATCAGAATGAAGTATAATATCAGGATCTTAAGTCTGCCTTCCAGGTAATATTGTAACACAAATTTGTTTACTTTTGTATTAGATGTTCTTCACAATGACTATGCACATCCATCACCAATTCATTTTCACTACCAATTCATGGACTATAATGTAGACCTCTCTTGTCAAGGTACTGTGAATATCAACTCAATACTTTTCTTTTTTCATTTCTTCTTCTGGTTGAAACAAGTTCATTTTTTCTTATAATTGTTTAATGTTTTTCAGTTGCAAGAAAGGGGTCAGTTGCTATAGATAACAAATGAGTAAACTGATATTTGATCATGAAAAATATATGAAAATTGTAGTTTAGTTCTCATTTAAATAATATTATGATTTAGCCCTTAAATTTTCAGACTTGTTTCACAGTATTCCTCTTTCTACCTCTGAAAGGGGTTTGTGTAGAATAAGTTTACATAATTTAATTCAAGGTTGACATTGCAAGTTACATTTTCGATGATAAAATACCATTTTACTCCATAACAAAAACCACTTACAGAGATATAACTTGTACAGTTTCTCTGCAACCTTCAATTTGTTGTTTTATTGGTGAATTTTCAGTCTTCATTTTACTTGATTAGCATCTAACTTGCACTGAGGAAACTAGTCAGTACCTTATAATATAAGGAAAGGCACCAATTAGTCCTGAAGGTTTTTCACAATCAATATGAGAGCCACGTGAATTTCTTAAAAAGCCATGAAATAGCATGCATCATGTCTGACTTTACTGTTTTTGCTGCCACATCCATTGCAGTAGACGAAATTGTACCTGGATTCAGAAGCCTTCTCAAATGCACCTTACCGGATTCTGGGAAGGTAAAATTTATTTTTACTTGCCAATATACTATTAGTATCATCTTTAATCATTCTAGTTTTTGAATTTTTTCATTTCATCTGACTATTTTCCGGAATCATCATAGGTGGAATTACAACACGTGACTAACTACACTGGCATTACCGGATGCATTGGATTAGAAGGAAACATAGAAAAAGGATATGATCCTGTTGTAAACTTGTCGGGCCTTGTAGGAACTAACATTGTGTCCCTTGGAGCCAATGTTGCTTTTGACTTACCAACAAGAACAATCAACAAGCTGAATGCTGGCTTAGGCCTCAACACCGACTTCCTTGTTGCTTCCTTGACCATGTGAGATATATATATCCTACAAGAAGTATAGGAACTAAATTTATCACAAAAAGCATAGGAATATCAATTTGTGAATTGTCATCTCTAAACTAACTAGAGATATTGATCATTACTAAGTTTTCTCCTTGTTGAAAGGTTCCACGCTATCTGCCTCAATTCTTGGAATATAACTTATATATCTTTTGGACAATTTCATTTAATGTCAATTAGTTTTAAGACGAAATCTTACATAATATCATTGTCTTGGTAAATTGCCTCTTCTGGTAGGCTCACTTGTTCTGGCAGGCATCTATGGAAGGGGGATGTGTAAAGGTTCCATGTCAGATGTCTCAATTCTTGGAGTGCAACTTATATATCTGTTGGACAACTTTACTTGATGTCAATTGGTTTGTACACTCCTATTGCTACTTCCTTCAAGCCTGAAACGACTGGAGTTTGGTTTTGTGCAGGCATGACAGGTTTGACATTGTTAAAGCCTCCTGCTATCATGAAGTGAACCCCCTGACCAAGACTGCCATTGCAGCAGAGCTTAAGCATAGCTTGTCAATGGGGGAAACAGGTGTCACCATTGGTGCTCAGCATGCATTTTTTCCGGAAACGTTGGTAAAGGCTCGATTTAACAACTATGGCAAGGCAGGTGCTCTTATTCAACAAGGGTTATGGGAGAGATGTTTCGTAACTTTAGCTGGAGAAGTGGATTTTAAGACCTCAGATAATAATTTGCATCCCAAGATTGGAGTCTCTGTGGCTTTAAGACCTTAGTCAATGCCAATGAAATAAGCTTTCATCTCCAGTTAAGAGGTTGTTGGATGTAAAGAGACATTTAAGAGATGGCACAAACTGGATGAAACTTCTCAATTTTCGCCATCCATTTTCTTCAATATTCAGCAACAGTATGAGTACCATGTCTAGTTCTTCTACTCATACACAATTTTTATAAATAAAATTATTATAGGGCTAGTGAATAGTGATAGACATTTATTTATCATTTTTACCTGTTTAAGTTTAAATTGACTCCTGTTTATTCATATAGAAGTCGAGTCTCTGAAACAAATAGCCCCAGAATTACTCTCTTTTCTTGTATCGTATGAGATGGTAGTTGTCATGTTACTTCTGTTTTTACTTCGTTGTAAATGACTTATTATTCGTAAAGGGGAAAGCAGTTTAATATTTTCTTAGAAAAATATGAGCATTGCAATACATGCAAACCTTCAGATTCCGGGGGAAACTTATAGCATAACTTCCTTTTTAATTTAATGGAGACAATGACGACTAGAAGCATTTTTCATTTGTGCAAAAAATGGAAGGTTAGAAAAAATAGTATGTAATTTAAGGTTAAATTACTTGGTTGGTACCAAAAATATTTGGAAATTTTCAAATAGTTCTCTAAACTAAAAAGAAAAAAAATGGATTATTCATCATGTAAATTTTTCTAATTAAGTCCCTAGCTCTAATGTTTTTAAAACCATTTCCTGTCAGTTTCAAGCCGACATAAACTAATACCAGGAATCTACTTTTTTAGTTTAAGACCAATTTAAAAAAAAAATAGTCCAGAAACCAGCTGAGTAATTTAATCTTAATTTAACAATTAGCATGAAGCACTCTCTAACGATATATAAGAAATTTCTTATATGCAACTTTCACAATCTAGAAAACTTGTATGTACATGGATACTTAATAGTTTAGTTATGCATGGTTCACAATATTGACAACAGAATACACAGTAATAATTGACTGCCTGAAAGTATCAATCAAACTGGCCCTCCAAAGATTTTGGCTAACAAATCAAACACTAAATTATTTCTTCTTACCATTTTAGTCCTCTATAAGAACAGATGTGGTAACATTTTAGATATTTGTGGGACTAGTCTGATAACAAATATCTTTATAAGATTAATGTGGTGATGCCATAATTTTTGGAGGACCGGTTTTGCAGTTTATTCTGAAACAAAATCACAAAACACACTGTACAGAAATACAGATATACAACCACAGGCGCTATAGCTTTACCATACCCCCATACAAACCAAATACAAGATCTAGGTGGAGTAGAGGCTACCCATGAGAAGCCTGAAGAAGTCCATCACGAATTTGGGTAGCTACATCGCGAACAGCACCAGGTCCATGTGGAATGAACACAGCAGAAGACTTGGAGGCAGCACCAATTTCTTTCATAGTGTCAAAATACTGAGTGACAAGGACCATGTCCATGACATCTTTTGCAGTCGTCCCAGGTACATTAATTGAGAATCCAAGCACACTGTCTCTCAATCCGTCCACAATTGCTTGACGTTGGCGAGCAATACCCAGCCCAGAGAGATACTTAGACTCAGCCTCACCCTCGGCTCGTTTAATTAGCAAGATCTTCTCAGCCTCTGCCTTTTCATTAGCTGCCACCCTCAATCTTGCAGCTGATAAAGGGAAAATGCAGCAAAAAAAACTAAGTCAATCCATGATCACAGTTAAGTTTGGATATAGCAATTGACAGAGGAACTAAGTGAATTATAAACACAATCAATCATTTGAGTTCGAAATTACACTCCATACAATATCTAGTTAATACCTAAGTCATACAAGATTGAGTTGATTGAATGAAGACAACCTGATCCATATTATATAGAGAAAATAACAAAAGGTCATGCCTAAATAAAATTTTCTGCAATAAATTAGATTTAGGATCTAATACTCAAGAAAAAAAAGCTTGCAGAGTACAAATAGCGGCATATACATGAGGAGAAAGGAAGAAAATATTAGTCATATTACTAAAAAAATAACTGACCCCTTCTGGAGTATAAATAAATTATTGGCAGAAAGTAGAAACTCAACATACAAGTTCTACTCATATAACATACCAGCGTTGATTTCATTCATAGCCCGCTTCACATGCTCATCTGGATCTATATCAACAATCAGTGTTTGAACAATTTCATACCCATAAGCTGACATAGCCTGTGAGCGCAATAAAGCATCAGATTCAAATTAACATAAATTCACAGTTCACCTTATAAGTAAATAATATTATTTAAAAAAAAAAAAAACCTTCTCAAGTTCTTCTTCCACAGCTCTGGCAATTTCATTTTTCTGCTCAAAAGCATCATCCAAGTTGAGTTTTGGAACACTTGCCCTAATTACTGCAATGAGAATAGAAATTTCACCTTAGCAGATAAAATATGCTTAAACCAGTTATTGCAGGTTTCGCACTGTTACTCAGTATTACGGTTTATACCATCAAAAACATAGGCTTGAATTTGGGTCTTAGTATTGCTAAGTTTGTAAAAAGCATCATTGGCCTTCTCTGCCAGGGCACGATATTGAATCGAAGCAACAACATTGACAAAGACATTATCCTGTAAGCAACAAATATAAGAAACATATACAGAGTAACATGGATAGATTGAACTGAAAGAAGCCAGTACTAGTGAAAGAGCCAATGAACATACAACAACAACCAAGCCTTTTCCCACTAGGAAGAGTCAGCTACATAGACTAAATGATGTTCTATTGAAAATCCTGTCTGTAGACAAATCATTGACCTTCAAATTCTTTTTATTAGTTTGCCTATAGTTTTTCTAGGTCTCCCTCTACCTCAAGAAATAGGACTACCCTACAGCTGACAATAAACTTAAAGGATTCAAATTAACAAAGCACAAGAATGACAACCAAATACACATTGATAAAAATTGAAAAATGTCCATGCCAAAAAGAAAGTGTTTACGGCAATTAAAGAGGATGAAATGACTTAAAAAGATTTGGTTATAGTCGAAGTGCCAGACAATAACAAACCTTTGTCTTGGTCTCACATCGAAGATCCAATTGCTGTAACCGAAGAGACAGATGACCTGCAAGTTGTTTTCCAAGGAACCATGGCATGCAATGGCATCCTGGCTGAAGCACCTTCTCAAATCGTCCAAATCTTTCTTTTATAGCCACCGTAGATTGATCAACTTGCACACAACAAAAAAGATTCCCCATTTTCTTTTAACTGCGATGTTCAAATGTATCAGCATATCATTAACTCGACAAGATAAAGGATACTTGAGGATGATAATTAAGGCATGCATGAACAGAATAGAAAAGTGAAGGATTTTGTCAAAACACCAACAGCCAATACAAGCTACGCAGTACGTATAGTCATAAGGTCAACTGCAAATTATTTAACACATTCCAATGGCAAAACCAACTGTAAAATACTAAAATCTATCGATACTCATGGAGTCACAGTCCTGAACAAGAGAGAAACCAGTTTTCATACCAACAGAAGTCCAACAAACCTCTACTATTGCACTTCTTATTTAATTTGTATATCAGTGCACTAGAAGTCAGCGCACTATGGTTGAAGATGAAAAGGTTTTGGAAACTACAGTATTATATCAAGGAAACATCGATTGAGTTATTTCTACAAGCTATTAATGAAGGGCGTGTAATATGCATACGGTACAAGTGTTTAACCATTTAAAAGGATGACCAAAATTTATACTTAATTATACTGCAGAATTTGAGAATTTGAAGTAAAGAAAACACACAACCAGACAATAAAACTTGGTTACCATATTCTGTCACCAACAGTAGTCCCAAAATTATTATCATTGGCACAAAGCTAGACAAGTATTTATTTGAAAGAAAAAAGAAAAAAAATTAGAAAAAACAAAAACAAAAACAAAAGCAACAGTTAACTGGGCAAAAAAATAAAAAACAATTGGACAAAACAAAGGCAGTATCAGAAAGTCTTGCCAAGTTAATAATTCACCTCATAAAAGATTACTGAACAATCTGGAATTCATCGTCACTAGTTATGAAACCATGTAGTAAGATCATTCAACTCTCCAAGCAATAACATAATTAGATACTCAAACCTCATGTAATGGATACACGCACCACATCAAACACATCTAGAATTAGACATAGAAAAGTTACAACTTAAGCAAAATACAGAGAGAAACAGAATGGCACCTCAAAGATAGAGGCTTCGAAAGTAAAGCTGACTTGGGGGAGCTCTTGCTTAAATTATAAGCAAGTGGCTCTTGAACACTGAGTCAGAGAGTAGACAAATAAGAGCTATCCTTGATATATTCACCACCACCATTAATCATGATGTATTTGTTTTAACCATATATATTCTATAGCCATAGGCATACAAAATACAATTTATATATTGCCTGTTAGAAACTCAGAAATTGCAAGGTAACTGGCTTGACAAACCTATCACATTCAAGGAAATTCTAGCTATCATAGTTGTCATGCTGATACAACCTAGAAAAGTATATATTAGCTTTATTTAATTTATGTGTGGGTCAAGGGATCACAAGGTCCAACCATAAAAATATATAAATAATTAGCCAAATGGGTAAACTCTAACATTCATGCATCTACACTACACACAAACTATGCAGAGTTTGGAAGCAACCAACAAAGTTCAAAACCTGAAATTGAATTGCAGTGGTAAAAAAAACTATGAATTAATTATTACCTACAATTCAGTTTTGCTCAATCGATCAATTGACCCTCCAAAACAACCCAAGAACTGTACAGTTCAAAATTTCGGATAACTGGATTTACAAAGTGCAGGTCAACAAAAGACGACTTCAAAACCAATTTTCACTGAGAACGCGAGAAACCTCGAAGTTAGCATGAATGGGATAATAATATAGAAAAATGATAAAATTACTATAACTAGTGTGCGAAAAAGGAAAAAAAAAAAAAGAAAAAAAAAAGTGTACTGTTAATATAACCTCTATAGATTCATTAACAAAAATAAATTTTGCCCCCAAAAAAATGATTAATAATAAATGTGAGATTTTAGCTTTGTTGTAGAGCCAACTCTTATTTTTTTAATCTTAACTCACTATTGTTGGATTCTGTCATTTCAAGAATTTCAACAATTTTAAGAATACTTAAACAACTTGAACCTTTCCCAATTGTGTAGTGTTAGGTTTATTCAAATTTCCGAGGGGTTGTCAAAAGTTTGATTCAGTGTCTCAAATGTATGTATTATATTATAAATTATAGATTTTGAAGTAATTAATACGTAAAAATAAAATATAGTATTTCAATACTTGTTTATCACAACAAATATATTAAATATATAGTAAATTTATTTACTCTTTTTTTTATCACAAATAAAGGCAGTTTCAAAAAATATTTTAATTTTAAGCTCTTAAAATAATATCGAAATGATAAGTTATAAAGATATTATCGATTAGAACAAGTGTCTTTTACAAAAAAAAATTATGATTTGCTAAAGAGATAAAAAAAAAAATCACTAGAGTTAGCCTAATAATTAGATGTAGAGAGGTTAGAGTAATTAGAAGCATGAAGACTTATATTCAATCTTCATTGCGACTATTTTTGTAATTTTTCCTATTTTTATAAAAAAAATAAAAAAAAACTAAAGAAATTTGCAAGAAAAAAAAATTAGTGTAAGTATTTGAAGTTGCAAGGACAAAAACATTTGCTTAAGAATAAAAAGACTTTAGTAAAAAGATACTAGTAATAATTTGAAAATTTTAGTTTCATGAAACTTTGTACTAATAGAACACTTGGTGTTTTACCAAGAAAGGTATAGCCTCTAAATTGAGACAAATTTGTATAAAATTCTTTATGATCATCTTTCTATCTTTATCTCCTTTGTTTAGTAACCTTTAGGGAGTTAACATTGTCATAAAAATATTGATTTTTTTAAATAAATATATTATATAGAATTAAGTTAATAATTTTATATGTATCTAATCCTATTACATAAATTTGGATAATAATAAATTAGTTTATCAATACAATCTAATATATATCTATCTTGTTATTCTTAGATAATAATAAATTAGTTTATCAATACAACCTAATATATATAGATCTTATTATTCTTGTTAATTTTGTGTTGTGTGAAACATGATTTTAGTTGTTAATGTCAACGAAAACTTGAATTAATTATGTATTTTCTTTCAAAATTTTAAAATATATTAATATTTAATTCATCTATTAAATTATTCAACTCGATTCAATTCAATTATTTTTAAATTAGATAAATTACTTAAAAAATGTGAACTTAACCTGACTCAAATATATCTAATTAAATTTAATCTTAAAATAAGTGAAACTTAATTTAACACAACCCAATTACACCTTTAATAGAGGTATACATAGTTGGTATGCTATTTGAATAATCTTTTATCTTGTTAAAATTATAAATTACATATATAATATAAATATTTTTTTCTACTAGCCTTTGGTATTATTTAAAATTATTTACTGTACTATTATAGAGAAAAGTGTGGCACAATTGTACAACACCATTCTCCAACTACGTGCCTACAACTCCTCGGTACTAACAAAATCATTTTAACTTGGTTAATTTTTAATTCCATCTTTTCCTTTTGTTTGCTTAACCAAGGCATTGCCCTGCCTTTCATCTTCACAACACCTCACTTCTCTCAATATTTCTCATTCTTATGTGTTGTTTATTTTTCTTTGTTGCACTTCTCATCTTCCGTTCGTACATATAGGCCCTCGTCATTCTTACATTTTTCATCTTTCATTGCTACACTTTTCACTATCAAATGGAACACCATCTTTCCCATTTTTCACCTTTACCAATTCAACCTTGAATTAAAGCATACTAATTGAAAAACAAGTCGCAAGTTGACATATGCTCAAACTAATTCATGATTTTTCTACTAAATTGAGATGACACGATTTGCTTCATGGTGGTGATGAGAATTCTTAATGACTTAAGATCATTTTACAATTCTTTGATTGGTTATTTTATGGTATTTGTTTGAGGGAAATATTTTATGAAGATTATTTTTATAAGGTTATTACACAAACATACTCCACAATGATGAGATATTGTCCGCTTTGGGCCTTAACCCTCACGGTTTTACTTTTGGTCATCACTCAAAAGGTCTCTCAATCATTGAAGTATGTTTATGCTATATAAGTTGTTATTTCTTATCTTATTTTATCGATGTGAGACTTGTTTGTATCTCAACACTCTATAATATATGGTGTGTGTGGTTGCATTCGAATTCAGTTGTTAATTGTTTCTATAACGTTCAATTGTTGGTTATGTTGGGGTTTTTCAATTCCTTGGTTGATGTATTTTGGGGTTGATTTTTCATTTTTTAAATATTTTTTTCACTTTTTATATTTTTTTATATCACAAATTTTACTCATGCTAAGTAAGATCATTAAAGTTTTTATCTAAAATAATATAATTGTATATTTAAAATTTAAACTCAAAATTATTGATTAAATTCAAATAACTTCATAATAATTGATAACGTGCTCGTTTATAAGAACCTAATTTTTATAGGAGAACCATTTTACACATACGTCAAAATGAAAGAATTATTGGTTGCTGTAAGAACTCTAAGAATCACTCAAAGAACTAGCTAGTTAGAATTAGATTAAGAACAAATAATGTGAGCTCAAAGATCAACGATAATTAAAATATATGAGAATTAAGTTTACACACGAAATGTCATATAATAAATGAAAATTGGAATCCATCACTCTCGTGCTTTTCTTTTCATTCTCAGCCCTTGAAGTTTAATTAGGTATCACACAATTCGTGTGATATGCTATTCCTTGAGCATCATTCTCATTCTTTTCAAATATCTTTTTTTTATATTATTTTTTGTTGAAATATCTCATTTACAAAATAGTTACCAACTGAAAAATTTGAACATATATCACAAAATGATTTAATGAAAATTGATATTTTACATTATACTGCATGACTTTCACAAGTCATGACGGGTGACACATTTAGCATTTCTTGTTTGATATTATATATCATTTGGTTTTTTTTTTAATGTTTTTGAAAAATATTTGCATGTGTGTGTGTATAATTTCATTATTCTTATATATGATAAACTTTTTTATTTTATTCCTCTATAAAATAAATAAATTGATCCTTTTAGATTTTTTCTTAATTTAGTTAGAGTTTATATTCACATATAGTGCTAGTCTAAAAAATATATAATATTAACCAGTTATAAACATATATTCTAAGAAGATGTTTAATAAACTTTTCGTGTATGGTGATATGAATGAATTAAGGACACTGTAAAAAAAATATTTACACTATCAGCATAGTTAATTAAATTCATTTAGTTAATTTTGTGCATGGATATATCAAATTAAGTTTATATATATATATATATATATATATATATATATATATATATATAATATGAGAAAAATTAGTCTTTATAGTGGAAAAGAATAAAGAATAATTATATGTGAAACAAACAATTTAAAAACAATTTTCATAATAAAGACTATATTAAAAATAATCATTCAGAGAAGTAATTTTAATCAAGTAAAAATTTAAAATTATATATATAGAGAGAGAGAAAGAAAAAAAGAAAGAAAGAGAGAGAGAACCATCTTAGAGGATAAAAATCACTAAAAATGAGATTTTTTTCAATTTGAAATCTACTTATTGCTAAATTACATAAATAGAAATGGATTCTCTTTTCCACCTTTTTCAAGACGTAAGGAACTTGCCAAAACACTATTAATTTATGATTCAATAGTTACGTGTTAAATTATATTTAAATTGGAATTAATAAAAATAATTTAATAATACATAAAATAAAATTCAAAAATATATAATATCAAAACTTTATAAAATTAAAAATAAAATATCATTTTATACTGTCTAGCTTACATTTAACTTAAGTACATATATAAAATCTAAATTAAATATAATACTTGATTTTAACTTTTAATAATGCACAACAAGATCTACTAATTTATATTATAGAATAAAAAGGAAAATGAGAAATATCTCGAGTTGATTTTTCATTTTTTAAAGAAGAAATAAAAAGGACATACTAAATATATATATATATATTTATTTTATCAATTATTAATGATCTCTTTTTTTTTTTATTATCATTTTTTAATATTAAAATTATAATGACAGTACTAAGATTTGAATTTAAAATCATGTGTGTATATTTTGTCTTTTTTTTTATTGATTTTATTTTTTTATTCTTTTATTGATTCATATCAATATTGGTTCTGTAATTTATTTGGACCAAACATTAATAAAGCTGGTTAATCGAATTTCTGATAATAAAAAAAAAGTAGGGATGTAATTTCTTTTTCTTTTTCATAATGAACTAAAATACCTCTTTTTTCTCCTTCAATATTTTGAAAGTCAGGGATATGTATTTCTTTTTTTTCTTTTCCCTTTTCATTCCATCATTATAAACCTCTAAATAATAATAAGATGTTAAATCCATTTCATCACCATTAGATGTCCAAAACCAAATAAAGCAAGCACACTTGCATGAAAACCCAAAAGGAGAATTTAAGATTTACATAGAATCATGAAATCTGATTTTGACGACATCATCATGCATATTCATAATGAGCAATGGATTAATTTAATTAAAACTAAAAATATTGGTACACTGCGCACCAGGTAATAGCAGGGACGGAGCCAGGATTTCAATACTGGGGGGCCGAGAATAAATAATATATAATTTATAATAAATGAAAATTAAAGTCCAAAAGTGATACCACATAGCAGGCCGTACCAGAAGTCCAAAAGTTGAATAAAAAAATAAATTTGAGTTATTCATTTAATTATACATATGAGTTTATATTAAAAATAGGGGGTGCCATATAGTAATATATATGTATATAAAAAAAAATTAAAATTGTTGGGGGGGCCGTGGCACCCGTAGGTCCCCCCTTGGCTCCGTCCTTGGGTAATAGTACGTAGAATAGAAGGTAGCTGCACCAACATTGGTCTATGCGCATGTGTAGCTCATGAACATGAAGCAGGTAAATGAGGTTGAGTAAGGGGTCACTCTACCTCACTCGTTATTTCATCATATATGAGACTACGAAAGGCTTAGGGCGGTTAATTATTAAGTTACAAGAAGAAGTAGTACACATTTGTACGTACTACGTAGGTTTGTTCCATTCTAGAATCCATGCTTTGTTGAATATCTATATTTGTAGGAAGTGGCCCAGAAGAGAAAATGAATGAAGTTGAGTCCACTAAGCACACACATCAACCAGTAAAACCTCTCAAGGTGATAGTGATTCAAGTTGGCACCTAAGAGCCATGGTGTGTGTCCAAAAGCTCCTGTGGCCTTATTGATGACGGACACAAGAACTGAGCTGAGGAAGTACCCCATGGCCAGTGAGGCCCATGAAAGTGCTGTGGCCAAAGACCTCATGCTCCATGGTGCCTCTGTGAAGAAGAACTCCATCATGCCAGCCAAGGTGAAAAGATCAGCTGAGCCAAGAAAAATGTACTGCAAAGCCACCCAAAGGAATGTTATGGGAAGGGGTTTGGTTGAGTCTAGTAAACCAAGTTTAGAAGCTGTTTTCTTTCTCTTGGTTTCCACCAAAGCTGCCACAGCCATTGCCACAATGGAGAGAAACAGGCCTGTCCCTATTCTTTGTAGGTGTGTGATCCCCATTTCGGTTTTGGTGGCTTTTCTAGCAAATGGAAGAATGATGTCGTTGTAGAGTGGGGCAATGATCATGATGAAGAGGACAGGGAACACAGGAAGAGAAGCTGGTGGGACCTTGAAGGAACCAAGCATGGTGTTCATGGTGGCTGATTGGTGGACTGAGAAGGTTGATAGCTGAGCTAGGCAGCAGTTTAGCATTATGGTGGACATGAATATGGGAAGAATCTTTATCACAATCTTCACCTCTTCCACTTCCTTAACTGTGCACTCTAACATTGGGTGAACCGGTTCCATCATTGCTTTGTTAAGGAATTTAAGGTTTGAAGTTAGAGTTTGGCTTTGGTCTACCACCTCTTTTCTAGTGTTAATTTTTTCTCCTCCATCATCCCTTTCAGTTTCATGGGATGGACTTGTGGGCATGCTTATGACAGCATTGCTTGAATTCCTGGCTTTGCAGTTGTTGCAAATTGCTGCAACGAGAACCTGTCAGCATACCAAATTCAAAGCAGCTTCTTTAGTTTTCCTTTTTACTAGTCCACTAGCAATATCTTTACTTTGACCATCTGTTATTTCTTTTAAGGAAAAAAAGAGTATATATGCACCGAGTACTCAATAAAACAAAAAACAAAAAGTGCTTAACAAATACGACTTTCGGTAACATTGGAAAAATTTTAGTTAATCGTATATAAATAAATGTTATTAATTTACTTTTATATCATATATATTATTAGATGTTATATATACTTATGCTATTAAAGACTTTTAATAGAATTTTTATACAATTATATATAAATATTGTTAATTTACTTTTTACAACATTTTTATATGATTTGATAATATTTTTTAAAATGCTGATATTTTTATAATATTTTAATAATATCACTAAGTTTTAATTGACTTTATAAAATATTTATTAGTTTTAATATAAATATTTATATTATTTATCTTTTATTATTCTTAGCCCTTAAGAATTCTTTAAGATCGAAAATATTCTAAATTAATCATCATCAAATCTATATTAAATATCAAAACTTATTGATCTTCACTCTAATTATATATATTTTTTATATATTATTTATTTACTCGATATGAGACTTTAATTTTGTTAAATAATTAGAGATGAGAGAAATACATTTTTTATGAAATATTTCTTTACTTGATGTAAGACTTTAATTTTAGAAATAATTAAAAATAATAATATTAAGATAAAAAAATATCACTTTATTTATAATAACATTTTTTAAAGGAAAAAATTAAAAAATATTTTATATATTTACTCAATCAATAATAATATTTTAATAAATATAAATAAATAAATGTTACTAAAGAAATAAAATATAATAGTAACTATTATCCAATCACATACCATCATATATAATATATATTACCTTTTAAAATAATTATCTTAAAAGTAATGACTTTAATTGCATATTTCAATAAATCGTCAAATATCATATTTTGATAAAAAAAATTTATAAATACTTTCAAAAGATTAAAAAAAAAAATAAAGGACGAAAAAATGAATCCAACTTTTTTTTTATAAGATAAAATTAACTTATGTAAGTAAATTTTGTAAGAAATCTTATTTGAAAGTTAAAATAAAATTAATATGCACTTAAATTTTACAAGAAATTCACTCATCTAACTTACATGAATGTTAAGGTAAATAAAGTTGATTTTACTTTACTTGAGAACCTCAATCAAGTTACTTTTTAATAAGTAATTATACAGAAATTTATGCAACAAGTCTATGTATACCTTGAACATGGATGTGATGGGGCTTCCTGCTGGAATCTTGGTCCTGTACTTGTGTGAACCAAGAAGAAACACTGGAATGGAGAGAAGTATTGATGCAGTTGAGACTCCTAAACCCCACTGCCATCCCTTGTTGTCTTCAATCCATACCACAAAAGTTACTGCAATTAATGCACCACATGACAGGCTGAAAACAAAGTAATTGAAAAATGAAGATCTCTGCTTCCTTCCCTCTGGGGTATTCTCATCAAACTGCTCAGCTCCATGAGGAGGAAGTGAACCTTTTATACCTCCTACGCCAAGAGCCACTAGATAGAGGCCTGCAAATAGCATAACTGCGTCCCCACCATGAATGTTATGGCATGGACTGTGGGTCTTTCCCATAACACAGTGTGGTGGCTCCAGTGATGGCTTGTGAGCTTGTATTGTCAGCATTAATAAACCCTGTGTGTGTCCACCAACAAGTTCGACGTTCAAAATATATTAGCTCACATGGTAATTAATGAGCTTCAATTATTTGAGCAAGTTGACATATTTGATAAATCCTTGTTTCTTGGGTAAGTTTGTTCCATTTGATAAATAATCATATGATATGATTAAAGCTATTTTGAAAATTGGCTTTGGCTCAGTTGGAGGTTCATTTGTTTCACTGTTTTACACTGAAGAATAGTGATATGGTAATAACTCAGAGAACTTGGTTAATTGTGTCAAGGTTAAGCACGATTGAATCCTGCTTCCAGTTTTGTGTACCGGAATCTAATCGCAATGAATAATGATCATGAGTCCTTTGTCTTACTTCTCTTCTGTCATTTTTGTTTGAGTTGGTTGAGGATGGAAAAAGGGCCCCATCATGTGGAGATAGTACTGTACTATACAAGTGAAAGTCTACCAAAATCTTGACCATGTGCTTTGCCTCATGCCTGTAATTATTATTATCATTGCTAGATTCATTCTTCTAGAATTTACCCTCAAGATATTCCACTGGAGATTTCCCCCTTATTGGTAATTACCTACCTAGAAGCACAATCTATAGTTGGTAAAAGATTTTCCTTCCATGCTTCCACATATAATGACTGTGTTTATTAATAGGGTGTGATGTGTGGTGGCCACCCTCTATTTAGCTTCTCTTTTTTTTTTTTCACTTTTTATTGTTGACATGTCACATGTGAGTGATATTCAAACACGTATTCCGATTAATTTGGAAGTGTTGAAGCTTTTTTTCTTGCAAAGCGAGTATACTAACTTGGACACATAAAGGAAAAGATAGAAGCTTAATAATTAAGATGGGAGCTTACCATGAATTCTATTGCAGCACTTATGAGATAGATGGAATAAGTGGTGATAAATGCATCAGCCAGAAACCCACCAAGAACAGCAAGGAGGAAGGATGTTCCCATGAAGTCAGTGACAATGTTGGCAGCGGTGGATGGTGAAAAGTGCATAAACTTGGATAGATATAAAACAAGGTTGCTTGCATTGGCAAGATATGCAAGGTTCTCCAATACCTCAGCGGCTGTGGTTTGCCATGTGGGAAAATTAGAAACATGTTATGTTATGCATGCATACTTAAAACTATATAGTAATTTTGTGAAAGAGAAAAACGATTAAAAAATATATAGCTAAAAGATTTCTAGGTTTCAACTTTCAAGTTATAACCTATATCATAACATTGTGGTCAGCAAATAGATCAGAAACAAGAAAAGTGTGGTCAGAAGACAGTACTTACCCAAAACAAAGGAAGCGGCAAGCATGCCACCATGATGTCCTCTTATGGCTGGTCTGTTCCTCCAATCTACATACCCTTCCCACACGTGCACCTGTGCTTCCTCCTAGAAGAGTTATCGCAGTAGTGTTAAAACCAACTAATGAAAGAGTGCTATACTAAAAACTAAGACAAAGAATAAGTCAACTGTAAAAATTATGAAACGAAGTTATATACCATCTCTAAGTTTTGTTATATCCGGTATTTTATCTTATTCTTAAATATGGAGGAGGGATTGATATGCTGGTGGTGGTAGCAGAATACTTGATCAAGAACACTTTCTATCATGTGGGAAGTGGTGAACAGAATCGCATTTATAGCGGAGGAAATGGAATTTCTGATAGAAGAGGAAAGGTCTAGAGTATTTGAAAGCAACCATTCATTCTCCTGGATCCTTTCCCCTTACATTAATGTTGATGTTGACGGTTTCTACCGTTACCTCTGTCTTTTCTTGGTTTCCTTTCATTTCTACATGGGAAAGAAGGCTTCTCTTGGTCAGTATATATACCTGATTAGAGTTAGCAAATTAGGATCAACTTTTCCACCTACAATAATTTGTTTTGAATGTTCTCATTTCTTCTATATGTTTCCTGTTTATTTAATTAGTTAGTTGCTTATAGAAAAGATAAGGTTAAAATAAATGGAAATGCCAATGATGGTACTCGATTAGAAATTTCAAAACAGGAGATCTAGATGTTGTGCATGGTGGGAGTTAAAGGTGGCGGTAGATAATTGCATGAAAAAACCATGCAGTTTAGTGTCATCATACTTAGCAATTGGTATGGACATTAAGGCACCGCAAGCTGAGACAAATATAGATAAACAAGTGGACAACATTATTGACAAAAGGTCATAGTTGCATGATGGTGAGCGTGAAGGTAAAGTTAGGAAGAAGCTTTCCTCAAGCATGTCCCACACCCCTCTTCCTCACCGTGTCTTTATGCTAATCTCAAAGATTTATGATTTGCCAACTTCACTCACCTTATGTACAACCCTTTCTGACCAATAGAAAAAAAGGGGACCATTTTGGAAATAAAATCCTAAAAACGCTCAATGTTTGAATTTGATTGTGACTATTATTTGTAGCTAGCAGGCCAGGCCAATGGAGGCTTGTGCAGGTCATGTGAATTTTGTCCCGTTTCAATTCCTTAATAGAGCTTTCAAGCTGTGTGTGGATCTTCTCAAATGGGTCATTAGATTTTGAACAGTAATAATAAGTACCAACCAATTCTATTGTATGGTATTCTTGATGGTTAGAGTGTGCGTGTATATAAGTATCCTTTATGGACCACACTCATGGGACCCTTTTACCTTTATCATAAAATATATATGTGGATGTAGGTCGGCAGAGTAATGTGGATGGCTGTTCGATCTATATGCGATCTCCAACTTGTGTGGCTAGGATCCCCATAACCATGGTCCACATGCCTCATGCCACCATGTAAACTAACTCCATTTATTGGTACTATGTAATAGTTCCTCCTCCAAGCTTATTATAAATATTTATTAGATAAAGCATAATTTATTAAGAGATGGGAGCACAAGGTCAAGGGGTATCCCTGCCCTTTACATCAAGATGCAGTTCTAGTTTTACAATAAGAAAATAGACACATTACAGAATTTGACCACCCCTATTAATAAGACATTGATGCTTTTTTAAGTTTAGCACCAACTTCTAACTTTGATCAACACCACCTCTTAAATAAAAGCTTGAATAGCAAATGATGTCTAATTAGTTGAACTGTATGAACTATTGTAAACTCGTTGATATCAAATTCGTTTTTTATGAATAAATTATCTGCAAACAGTAGTCTTTTGACCCCAAAAAAATGAACGGGGTTTTGTGGTAGAAAATTTAAGAATAAGGTAGTAGGTGAATTGCATGTAACTGTTGTTGCTTTTACATTTTGAATAATGGATGCTGTACTATACAGTCTATACCATCTTTCTGTCTTTTTGAATCCAACTCACTGACTCAACAGTCATAACTTAATGACTCAAGTGGATAACTTGGAATAAGATATCAAACAAAAAAGAAGATCGACATGTTTATGAGTTGAATAGTTAAGTTTTATCTAGAATTTTGTCGAAGTAATATATATATATATATA